TTACACCTTATAAAAAGGCTGCTGAGTGAAAAATAATGTGCTTTTTGCAAGTAAAACAAGCTGTCCCCAGTTAGAAAATATACAAATAATTCATCTCTCCTTATTGTAAAAACTTGATACATTATAGTAGGAAGACTAGCCCACAGGGGAAGTGATACAATGTAATATTCAGCCAGAAAACCAGTCATGTGGATGTTACTTTGATCCTTAATGTAGATTAAACATTGATGCAGAGCAATTACTGTCAGTCAATAACATTCGCTGTTGGCAGTGAATTCTGTCCAGGATGACACACCCTGCCACACCGAAAATATAGTTCGGGAATGATTTGTTTGATGTCTTTGTTCTGAAACAGCAAGTCAAAAAAAAAAAGAAAAAAATTCTATGAAGAGCTCCAATAAGAATTTCTTTTGCTTTAACTTATTACTACTCACTATAAAACACTGTAAGCTGGTTAAACTTAAAAACATAACTCTGCAGTTGCTTGGAAATGTTTTCAAGGAAGTAAACTTTTTTTTTAAAAAGGAACAGACTTCAGACTAATTGAAGTCAGGTTTGTCAGTAATCACTGGATCAGCTGTTCCACCAAAGTCAACAAAAAACCGACAAAGGCAGAGAAGAAGCAGACAGAAACCATGATGTAACACTGCAGTGAAAGGAAACTTCACTACAGATCTCCTTTGGAAATATTTAAGAAAAATGGAAATGCCTCCAGTGTGTCTGAAAGTACAGAGTGCATTTTGGTGAGAACATGAAAAATCCACAGGGACCTGTGAACCCTGCAACTGTGGACACTAACTTCATTCATTATATACCACTTCTGCTTTCAGGGTTTTTACTACTTCTGTATACTTAAAAAATTCAAACGTACAGATTTCTGTGGCGTAACGTGGATAAAAACATCATCATTTCATTATTATTAAATGAGAACCACAATTTAAGTGAGTATAGGAGACACAGATTTTTCTCTCTAAACTACAAGAGGGAAAGGATTTTATACCCTTGTGTGTGTGCGCGCGTGTGTGTGTCTATAAGCAAGGTCTTCAGCTTATAGTACAGTTTTGTTTTGTTTTTTTAACAGTTCCTCTTTTTTGAGGAAACTAAACATGTGACCCATCTTAGAACAAAAACCTCAGAATGAGCTTCAACTGCAGGATAAGGAAGTCGGAAAGTATTGAAATGTGGAGCAGAACTGCGGTAAAGCCGAAAAGATGGTGTAATAAATTTCATAACATCATGTGAATTTTGGAGGCAACTTTTCTGTAGGACAGTGAATGCACGAAAGTTATGTAGCTACTGGCAAACAATCTCTCTGAGGTATCTCGCCTGTTCAACCGGTTAGACTGCTGCATTACCATCAGTGGTCATGTGCTAAGAAGGTGTAGCCGGGCTTTATTGCTAACTGACCCTGAAAGAGATCGTAGTTTGCATTTTGTTCAGTTTGGACCAGTGGGGAAATTTCCGATGATGGCCACCTGCAGCTCACACATGAGGCGCTCTGCTCTCATAATCCTGCTGCTCAACAGCTTCTGTGTCTTCTCTCAAAGTAAGGATGAATTTCTAATTTACTCCTTTACTCTACTATTCAATGTATTTTAAAATTTTCACAACTTGTGGCTATATTTGTTAAAACAGCAAAACAAGTCGTCTGGTAACTTGAATTTTCTTGTTCACTAATACTACTGTGAGGTTAACAATAACACCCCAGCTTCACTGGCATGTATTTCACCACTGCTCTTCGTGATGCAGTCCTATTTTTCTGTGTAGTATTATATTAGATCATTAGATCATTAACTGCACTGCATGAGGTTAGGATTGTGCTTCCACCTGGGTTCATTCATGCGTTAACCTGCATTACAAGCCGAACACTCTGGAAACACATGATTTGATGTTATGAAATGTGTTACACGTTTCCTTTATTTTCCTTTAGTTTGTTATTTAATACTCATGTCTTACTCTTTATATTTTATGTACAGTGACAATAAAGGGCTATTCTGTTCTATTCTGTTCATACTAATACATTTATTGTTATTCTCTTGTTTGCATTTTTTGTCTTTTTTTCCCTCAGTTTCACATGAAATGACCTATGTCGTGGCCTGCTTTGATGATGGGAGAACTGAGGCACAGGTTGAATTTGATGCTGAGGAGGTTATGTATACAGATTTCGAAAGACATGAAGTTGTATACACGGTGCCCCGGTATTTTATATTTAACCCAAGTGAAACATTTCAGAATTTGAATGTATATAACAATGCACAAAAAGCCAAGAGAACATGTCCAGCGCTTCTGTCATACTGGACAGTAGAGGAGAAAAATCCACCTGAACATAAAGGTAAAGGATCTTTATTCTTGTGTTAACATCATGTTGTAACATTGCTGATAAGATCTGATGATGTTAATTGTGTTTGATCCTACCACAGACCCCCCCGCGAGCATGCTTTACCCTGCAGATGAAGTCGAGCTGGGAGTTGAAAACAGCCTGATCTGCTTTGTGAATTACTTCTATCCACCTGACATCAATGTCAGCTGGACCAAAAATGGTCATCCAGTGTCTGAGGGGGTGTCGCTCAGTCGGTATTTTCCCAATAAAGATCAAACCTTCCACCAGTTCTCAACTCTGGTGTTCACCCCAAGCGAGGGCGACATTTACAGCTGCACCGTGGAGCACTCGGCACTGGAGACACCCCAAACAAGAATCTGGGGTAAATATTTGCCCTAATGAATAAAAATAAAATGAAAAGATTTGTTTACTGTTGTCAGTAATTATGTTCTTTTTCTTCTTCTTCTGCAGAAACAGAAATAATGAAAAGCCATGAAAGTCATGGACTGGATGTTTTCTGTGCAGTGGGCCTGACTCTGGGCCTGCTGGGAGTGGCAATGGGAACATTTTTAATTGTAAAAGGACTTGAAAACAAAAAACAATATCTATCTTAGAGAGATTCCACACATGAAAATCACACAAATAAACAACAAAACTGGGGCACAAAGTCAGTTCATTCAATAAAGAATGAATAATTCAACATTTATGTCAGTCCAAAGGTTAAAAATTAACTGTAATGAAACAGTATCCACTAATCACATCCAGTCTTTATTGTGAGAAGTGTTTCAGATTCACACAGGAAATTCAAAAGGCCATTTGACTTTTTATTTCCTTATTTAAATTGCTGCTGTTTGCTTAGGCTGTTGCAGCACTTTTAGTTAACATGCAGTCATTTTCTGCAGTAGTAGCTCTGCAGTGTAGTGGTTTGCACATTCTTCTAACAAGCAGAAGATCTCTGGTTTGATCCTGGCATGAGACACAAATCCCTTGGGGGTTGTGTCAGGAAGGGCAGAAAAGTTTGCCAAGTAAGCGATAGGGAGCTGCTGGCCATGCTTGAGACACAAAAGCAGTGAGAAGTATCTTGTTATTATGAATTATAAATAAAATGTGCTAAAACAGAGTCTCTAGGGGGCAGCAGTAAAATGTAACAAGGTTTTCTCAAGTAGTGAAGACTGGATTAAAATGTTTGCATTATATGCACAATAAATATAGTTTGCCATAGCTGGGCAATGAAGCTAATTTTTGTCTGTAACCAAACACCAGTTTTATTGTTTATGTAACTTTGGTTGTTATTTAATCTTCTTTTCTATACCAGCAAAATAAAGAAATCTTTGTTGAAAAAAAATGACTATTGTCTTTCAGCTCTTTATCTTTGGTTACAAAACCTGTAAAGCTCTGATGTCCCATTAAATAAACACATCGGCCATTAAAATCACATTAAAATTATTACAAATAAATAAAAACATATTTCCTGATATGCTATAGATATAGATATAAGCAGCTAGCCTGCTAGTGTTCAGATAAATGCAAAACCAATAAGTTTTATAAAATCAAATATAAATGTTTTTAGTAACTTCAGACTTGAGAATTGCTTGTTTTGGGTTGTGTTTAGTAATTCAAACGAATCAGGGTTAACTCTGTGGATATTACATAAAAATTACGGCTTGACTGTGTTTAAAAAAAAAGCTTTACTGTCTGCACAAATCCGACAATAAAAGTAAATCTTGTCCCACAGAGCACCACGCCTACTAAAAGCCTGCATAACAATACTGTTGCTCAATCTGGCGATTCACTTCCTTCTGCAACAAGATCAGACTTCTTCCTATTTTCATACGTGATTCCTATTTTTTCACCATGCATATTCGCTGCACTTTACTGCTAACAAGTATGTTCCTCTTATTTTCAAGAGCAGGTAGGTAACTTCAAGATAATAGCTGTTTATCGGTCTTACAGTAAAAATAAAAAAGGCGTTTGATTCATTTGTGTTATTTAGTAAACACAAGCTAATGTTTAAGATTGTCGAACTGGTGCTTGCGTTGTGTGTGAGAAGACAACACACATGAGCATTTCGGCATCAGCTAATTGTTGACTTTGTGTTACAGATGCTTACTTTGGTTACGGGTTGATTCGTTGCCTGTTTACTTCCGAGGATGATGTTGTTTATCTGGTACAGCTCTACTTTAATAAGGTGCTTCAGGCTCAGTACAACAGCACTTTGGGGAAATATGTCGGCTACACAGAGAAAATGAAAGAAATTGCAAATGAACTCAACAAAAACCAACGTTTCTTGGAACAAGAAAAAAAGAACAAACAGAAGTGCAGAACCAACGTCCCGCTAGTGTTTGATGTGCTTTCAAGACCAGGTGAGCATAGAAAAACTCTGAAACTCTAACGATGTTTTAGATTCCAGCAGCCATTGATAGTTACACTTCTTATTTCTGTGATATCAATAAAGCATTAGGTAACAGCATGGTGCTCTACAGGGACTTTCCCTAAAATGTTTTTAAGTACGTGAGAAAAAGATTGCTGGTGACTGAATCAGTGACTGAATCCTGTGACTGGTAAGTTTTTGAAAATTACTAACAGTGCTGAAGTGTTTTCCACTGTCGCCTCACAAAAAGAAGGTTCCTAGTTTTAACCCAACCTGTGGATTTGCGCGAAGTTACCATTACCTCCCTGTGTTCAACTTCCTTATACACTCCAAACTGATGAATTACTGATGAATGAAAATCTCTCCTGATTTGTGCGCCATCTCTTTTAAATGTTGAAAGTGAAAACACTTCCATAAAAGAAACACCCCTGCGTGCTTAGTTACTGCTCTTCAGCCCTCTTGATGCATTTTAGGAATTAAGATGTCCCTCTATTAACCCTGGTCACGAGCAGGAAGATGGATGAACAAATTAGAGAAATGAGAAAACCCTAGACTGAAAGTAAAAAGCTCAGAGGACACGAAAGAAAAAGCAGTTCCCGAAATAAAACAGTTAGTAGAAACAACAGAGCTAACAGAGAATTCATCACCAGGAAACAAGGAGACAGAATGGCGAGGAATATTAGCGAAAATTCGAAAAAAGATACCACAAAACAGACAACCACTAGGTAACACATACCCAAGCCATCTGCCATGAACAGTCAGGGGTGAGGAAAGAGAGACAGGACAAAAGACACAATGTGGAAGAGAGCCAGAGATAAACCTGAAGATCTGAGTGCAATGATTAAATGCAGCGTAGTTTATTAATTAAGGGAATGTTCCGAGTCAAAAGATCCAGCCCAAATTATAAGCTTAATCAAACAGAGGGTTTTCTGGGAATACTGTTAAATGTTTAATTCCACCTTTCCCACACGATCCAAATTAATGTGGTGGGTGGGGTCTTTTACATTTTGAGAGAATTGAGTCTACTAACAGGTTAAATGCAATTTTGAGAAGGTCATTATCAGGATATACATGGATATTAAAATGACCTACTATAATTATTTTTATTAGAGCTGAGGACTAAATTAGAAAGTCTAAGAATTCACGTAGGAACTGTGAGTAAGGGCCATATGAATGATAGTTAACAGCAAATAAAACTGAGTTTTCCGATTAGAGTTTACAATGTTAAGAGTTCTGCTTTCAAATGAAATCTAAGAAGTTGTAAATCTGGATCTATTCAAAGCTTGAGTGGAAGATTGCTGCCACTCCTCCTCTTTGGTCTGTGCTTTGAGGATTCTCACAGTTAGTATGGCTCAGATTAATTTCAACTATCTGCTGTAACCAAGTCTTTGTAATAGGAGCAAATCAATATGTTTGTCAATTATTAAATCATTTACTCACAAAGGCTTAGAAGACAGAGACCTAATTTTTAATACTACATATTTGTTTACTCTTTAGTGCACTTGAGGGTGCTTTGTTGTGCTTTCTTTGTGAATTTTTTCATTTAAATCTGATTTTTGGTTTGCTTTTTGCCCGACTGGTAACACGCCATCCTCTATCAGAATAGAGGATTACAGGAAAACTGAAGCTCCAGAGAAGGATATAAGGCTCATTACAGAAACTGTGTTATTGCTGCAATGCCTAATCAGTGTTAATTGATGGTATTTAATTTTATACCAAATAATTCTGACTGTCTGTTCTTTCCACAAGTTGAGCCCACAGTCAAGCTGAGGTTAGCTGAGTCACCAGAAAGTGAACATCCAGGCACGTTGATGTGCAGCGCGTACAACTTTTATCCCAAACAAATCAAACTGACGTGGCTGAGGGACGGAAAGGAGGCAACATCTAATGTGACTTCCACTGATGA